GAACGGCGGGGGGATGTGCCCTGGGTTCAGCCCCCCGCCGTGTCGCCTTGCAGAGCTGGACCTGAATACCAAGTGCATCGTGGAGATGGAAGGGAACCAGACTGTCCTTCACCCTCCGCCTTCCAACACCAAGCAGGGAGAAAGGTAATAAACGCCAGTCGCTGTGCCCCAAATAAAAACTCTCTGCCTCACCTGGCAGAGGCTTTCCCTGGCTTTGTGAGGGGAGTGAGGGGGCCCTGAACGTCTTGCTTGGTGCCTCTCGGGGGCTACGGTGGCGGGGAGCGGGCAGGGGGAAGGGAGTGAGGGCGAGCGCCAGCCAGGGGTGGCTGCCTTGGGCTTGCAGCCCTGAGAAGAACGGACCAGACCTTCCTCGCCCGGTTTCCTGAGCGGAGTCGGGGGTGCGCAGGTTGGGATGTGGAGATCCTCCCGGGTTTAAAAGCTGATTCTATTAACTGCTCAAAAAAAAAGGCTGTTGGTTAGGTAAGGACTTAAACTGACCATGTGTGCTGTTTTCAGAAATTCCCTTGAGTGCAGGCTGCTAATAACTTGGTGTAAACTGTGGGGGAATAAGAAGCGGAATCTGAATTTTATGCTAGTGATGGGGTTTTTTTAAGTTTGTTTACTAGACTTTAACGCGTTTACATTTGAAAAGGCTGTAATTGCTAGATCCTTTATTGTTTCACTGTTGTTCTGTGAAGTAGCCTATGAGAATATGCTAAAATAATTTTGAAATGTGGCATTTAGTTGTGATGCCCCAGTAAAGAATACCTTTGGAAATAATCCAAAATACCAATGCACTAGACTGTAAAAATAGATCAGAACAGGAAAAGATTTCTTTCCTTTGAGGGAGTGTGGGGAAAGACAGGGAGCTGCAAGGGAAATAGTTATGTTGTATGCCTATCTGTCCAGTTACCTGTTGACTGCTCAGCTTAAGTTGATCTGTTAAATGTATTTAATGCTAAGGAACGTGAAATCATTTGCGTGGTTATAGAGATATTAATCTGAACACGTTTCTACTACTCAAGGTTTTATTAAGAACATTTTTGATCAAGTTCATAGTAGTTGTGAATAAATTGTAGTGTGAGAATATGTTTTTTTTTTCAAAGGCGATATGTCACACTTTTATAGTTTTCCAGCAGAAAAGGTTGAGACTTTTATTTTTACATGTCCAGGATGTGAAGGTGCTTCTCATCTGAATCCACGTACTGGAATATTGCTGTAATTGCACCAGTTTAGCTTAAATCCAACTTGCTTTGTCTTCAGATCATTGTTGTGGCTAGTGGGTCTTGAAAGATCAGTGCTTGTTCCCTACCCCTTTCACAGATCTTTGTGTGATCTTCTGCAAGTCGTGCTGCCTCTGTGGGTCTTAGCATCCCATCTGTAAAATAGAAATCTTGTTTTTCTTGAGACTGTTTTAGAAGGTATGGAGGGTTTTTCCTGCTTTTTATTAAAGTGCATGTATGGCCTTCATCACAACCCTGCCATAATCAGAATAACATTAACTCTTTAAAGAGAGTGGATTTAACAGATGTAAAACATGCAGTACAAATAGAGTTTACAAAGCCAGAAGAGAATTAAGATTTAAAAATCACTTTTTCAATAGGCTAGAGAGCCTAAGGGCCAGGTGGTTGTAAAGAGCCTGTAACGTGTGAGTGTTGCTTGCTGTGCACATTGGCCTACAGGTATTCAGTGAGACTGTGCAGTGACTCTCTGCCTTTTGAGAGCTTGTGTGGCTTGTGTTTATCTGGGTTTAATACCTGTAGTATCTATGAATTCTCTTACTTGGTTGGAATTGGCTTCTGGTTCTGCGCCAAGAGCCTTACGGGTGAGCTGTGACGCTTGTGTGTGACCTCTCCGTCGGCAGCTGTGTTGGCAAGCGCTGTCTGGCCTGCTTGCAGCCCAGTGTGAGGCTGAGTCTGGCTGGCTATTACGTGTGTAACTCGTGTGTTTGAAACAACCGATGGATGTGTTACTTGAAACCACAGTCAGAAGCACTGGTGCAAACATAGTTTGGGTCCCTTCTTAATGGCGGATGTTGTATGTGACCTGTTGAGATGCCTGACGGATGTGTGAAGACCCTTACATTTTATTCAGTGCTAAACTGTTGATTTCTGGTTTTTATTCAAGATAAATAGCTTAATTTCTCACAATGAAAAATGAATTCTGTTCTTCTCTGTGTACCTACCGTAAAGTGTCTGTATAAACTGGCTCTGAATTGCTGAGTAGTTGCTACTTGTACTTGGATTGATGCCTTGGCAGGGTTAGAGATGTCAAATGGATTTTTGGTTTTCTTTGTGTGGCTTGTTTTTATATAGCTCAACTGGATTTTTCTTTCAGAGCAACTATGCCATTGCAAAGTGATTTCACTTGTTAGGGTGATTAATTGGTCTTTCTCTGCTGTATGCGTTATTTTAATATTCTGTTTAGTTTTACCTTTTAGTTTTCTCTTTTTATATTTTATCTTTTTATATGGAAATTTCCCTTTCCTAGCTGAATGGAAGTACAAGTTTGTATTGCACTTTGGAATAAGTAGCCTTCTAAAGCAAACTTGGTTTCCAGGGCTGCTTTTCTTAATTCAGCTGAAGCCAAGAGACTATAGGGTGGGAAGCAGAGTTGAAGACCGTGCTCTTTATTCGCTTTCTTCTCTTGGTTACAATTTTAAAGGTCCTGACAGAATTTTCTAAAGTAAAATTAGCTAGCTCTTTAATAACTATAACATCATAAAATCTGCTCTTGGAAGAATATCCAAGGTTAGGAAAATCAAATTTTACTCACTTTGACTATTCTGTAAGGGGTTCTTGAATTAAATCTAAGTTCGTGTGTGTGCTGTTTATCAGTTTCTAGGTTTTATTAAGGATAGTTCTAAACGATTTTAGATGGGCAAGTAATGCTAGTTTTACAAGTGGTGAAAATGCCTAAAATCCCAGACAGTGCTATCATTTGTCCAACTTCCACTATTGCATAGGGGTAAAGCAAGACGTTATAACCATAAATTAGAACAGGGTTCTGACTGCATCTTCTAACTGCTAGACCACACAGCATCTGCACCTTAACAAACACAGCTACAAATCAGTAATTGTTACTAAATACAAGTGTTCTGTCTTTTCATAAGCAGCAGGGCTGGTGTTCCCCACAGACACAGGGCTTCTGGTGTTATAAACTAACGAAGGAGGAAAAACAGAACGTAGTAAAACTGAACAGTGAGTCTGAAAGGCACAGGAAAATCTTCATCGACTCAAATAATAGGAGGCAGAGTTCAGAAAGGAACAGTTTTCATTGGCTGGTATTGCGTTATGATCTCTGGTGCTGGCCAAGTTTTTTTAAGTTGGTTGTTGGACTTTTAACCCTTGTTTTACTATTGTTAGTAGCAGTAGTTTCCTTTATGTCTGCCTAAGTGTGTGTCGTTTAGTTACCTCTCCTATCTCTCATCCATTGTCTCCCCCAAACCACTATAGATTTCCCTTTCTTCCTCAGACAAACATCTTTCTGGGAACCCTCTGATTTTCTTCAGTCTTCCCTGGGAATCTGAATTTACTTTCTCAAACTACACTCTTCCTGAAAAAAATGCTTCTAACTTACAGTCTTTTAGAAAGGGGTATTATGTTTCAAAGGCAATTGTATCCTGCAGTCTTGCTATAGAAGTTTGTATTTGGTTGTTGGCAATAAGGTACAGTATTAAAATGTAACTGTGAGATAATTGGAGTATGGAGTTACAGTCTTTCAGAATATTTGAGTGATTTTTTTTTTTTTTTTGCAATGGAAATTTCACACCCCTCTCTAAGTCTCTGAAAATTTTGACTTGACGTTATGTATGTTATTTTTTAGTAAGACAGATCAGGTTTTGCCAGGTTCCTCCTCTGCTTTTGGTTGTTAAAATATGATTTCCTCCAACCTTTCCTTTCAGCTACACTTCGTAAAGCATAGGATCTGAAAAGTTCTATTTTAGTTCCCTGACAACAGTTCTTTATGACGTAATTTTTCCTTTAGTAAGCAAGATTTGTCTTGACAGAAATAAACAAGGAGCTATGGAGCCAGTAGAACTGAAATACTATTTCAACTGCAGTTTTGACTGAAACAAAAATTCGCCGATTGGGCAATTTATTCTATTAGAGCACTGTAGCCTTGTGCAAACTTTGCCTTATTAAAAATCTCGGGGCAGAAAATTAGAAAGGAATCATAGTGTAGAGCTGAACTTAGCACATAGTCCTTCATGTGGTGGTTGTGGCACTTTATTGATGTGTTGCATTGAATAGCATGAGAGATGAGAGAAGGGCGCTGTTGGAGGGAGAGGGTACGTGTTTCTGGTAATGGTCGCTTTTTCAAACTGAAACTTGTGGGAGCTGAAATGGGACAGCTGCTAATTATTTCCATATCTGAAGGAATGATCAATGAGCACGTGTCTTTGCATATAGTTCAAATTGTCACTTGTCTGAGGTAGATCATAAAGTAATAGCAGGCAGCAACTTCTATCTTTGCAGGAAATTGTAAAAGTAATCTGACTTTGACCTCTTCTGTTAACTTTCCTGTTAGACATTAATGTTCAGGATGTGAGCTGTTAGCTTTGAACCTTTGCAGAAGAGTTGTAGTTGAATTATGAAATGCGTGGCTGGAAAATGGCATTTTGGGCTATTTTTGCATTGCTTTAGTTCATTCATGCCTTGGATGGAACACTAGACGCAGTTCCTTGAAATCGCTGTTCTTAAATTCCATGTAATTTGAAACAAAATGAGACACAAACTTGTGATCCAGAATACTGTGTGGCATGGCTCTTGGTGCTTCCTGAGGTGGCCTGCGCTGTGAGTAAATGCACCGTCCATTAATTTACCATGTTTATAAGATCCAGACAGCAGTTAGGACCTTGTGCTTTGGCCTTTAAATGGCATTGCTAGAGGAAACTACCATTGGAGGCTGTTGGGCTTGTGAGTGAGCAGCTAGTTGTACTTAGCTGGCAGCATTTCAAAACAAAAATAGATAAAATGTTTGAAGAGAACATGGTATGACCATGTTTAGGCAATCAGTGCTTTGTAGCCATTCTCTGCTTTTGGACCATTGAGTATTATGTTAAAATATTTCAGAATAGAACACAGTAAGATGAGGTTCAGCTTTGAACCTATCCCAGTTTTTCTAGTTTATGAAGTTAGGAA